AAGATAAAAAATATATTTTTTTTTTGTTTTAAAAATGCACAGCAGAAAGATACTATTTCGTTAACCAATGTCACCATAAAAAATAATTAATTAATTTAAAAAATAAAAAATAAATTATACGTAAAAAATAAATAAATCCTACAGAGTCTTTTCTCTGAGCACAATGAAAATCAAGAACAGAAAGACAATAAGAAAGTCTCTAAACACTTGAAAATTATACAACACAATTGTAAATAATCTATGGATCAAAGATTAAGTCTCAAAGGAAATTTAAAAAATATGCATAGAACTGAATGGAAATGAAAATATATAGAAACACATAACATGCAGCTAAAGAAGTGCTGAGAGAGAAAATTATAATACTAAATGCTTACATTTGAAATGAGTAAATGTTTCAAGTCAATGATTGATGTTTCTTCATCAAGGATCTAGAAGAAAAACGAAATAATTCCAAAGCAAGCAGAAGAAATGAAACAATAATGAGCTGAAATCAATGGAATTGAAACAGGAAAACTGTATGTAAAATTGAATGAAATAAAAATCTGGTTCTTTGGTGAACCTTTAGCAAGACTGGTAAAAATAAAAAGCTATAAGACACAAAACATCAATATCAGAAGTGAAATATCACTATAGATCACTATAGTAAGATATCACTATAAATTCTGCTGTCATTAAAAATATAATAAGAGAATATTAGATTCACATGCAGATTTAAGAAATAAGACAAAGATCTCATGTACATTTTGCACAGCTCAACTCCCCATGGTAATATATTGTAAAACTATAGTATATTATCACAATCAGGACACTGACATTGATACAATACACCAATCTTATTTCTCCAGTTTTACTTGTACTTATGTGTATGTGTATGAATTTAATTCTATACAATTTTCAAGTAAAAATTATTGAGGACCCCAAAGAGTTTTTGCTACGTGGGTTATTTCTATCTACATTTACTGTTTTAGAAAGTAAAACAAAACAAAACAAAAATACGTAAATGCCATTAGCCACCAGAACAATGACATCATGTAGCTTTTAGAACATTCATTGTACACTCATGAAAGGATGAGAGTTAAAAAGAAAAATAATATCTTAGTATTATTATTAATATAATTTTGATCTTTTAGGCTAACAAAATGGTCTTAGGGATAGGGCAACAAACTCATTCTGCTTTGCGGGGGGAGGTGGATTTTCTGGTTTAAGCACTAAAGTCCTAGCAAAACCAATATGATTTGCCTGAGACTCACCCAGTTTTACAATGAAAGTCCCATATTCAAGGGACCTCCTCAATTTGGGGCAAACTGGATTGGTTGTTCTCCATACTCATGGACCTTTCTGAGTTTCCAGACAACACTTTGAGAACCTCTATTTAAGGCCATCCAGAAGAAATTCCCAGTTCAGTGCTATTACCTCACCATCAGGATTTTAGTATCTTCACATTGTAATTTATTAAAAACTTCCCTACTCCATGCCAATTGCTTGCTCAGATTTCCTATATGGTTCATTTTACCTTCTTCTCTTTACCTTGGATTCTTCAAATAAGATGTCCTTGAAAGTGCTTTGTAATGAAAAAGTATCATCAGAATGTGAATGTGTTCCACTGTCTTTTTGGTGATTATCTTTTCAGGTCAAGTTAGCGCAGTGCAAGTGACCATCCCAAACAGTGTCATGAATGTGACTGCTGGATCTAATGCCACTCTTATCTGCACCTACACCAGCACTGTGGCCTCCCGAGACAAGCTTTCCATCCAGTGGTCATTCTCCCATGAAAAGGAGTCACAGCCAATTACCGTAAGAACATTCTTCCTAAGCTATTTCCCTTTGGTAGTTCTGAAATAAACTGTTGGGAGTCAGTGTATGAAGGAATGGTAAGCCAGTGATAGCAGTAGGAGAACCTCAGATACAGAATTTGAAGATACCTGTTGAGGGAAACCGTTATCTAAGTGATTTGGCCTTTGTTCTGTTTTCATATTCAGTTATAGCTTGTTATCTCAATTTTGTGTAAGTCAACATCAAGTAATCATGTATACTAGAGTAGACAGGAATGATCCTTATTGTAGGTAAAATAAGCAGTAGTTCTTAAAGGGCTTCCCACACCAAAAAGAATCTCCCTGCCTCTTATTTCTTGAAGACCCCAGTTCGAATGTATGTGCTAATTGATCTGCCGATCTCTGTCAATATCTGGGATCTGCTCGTCAAATGAAGTAGCTCATGGTGCAGGACTGAGTCTTGGTGCAATGAGAATCTCAAGATGGGTGGAGAAAGGTCAAAGTAGCAATGCACTTTGGGTAATTAAAGATAGCAGGAGGCTAGAGGATAGGGGATAGAGGCCAGGGTCTAGGGGATGAAGTTGCCAGAGGAGGGTAGGTGAAAGTCAAAGGAGGAGAATGATTCTAACTGCAAGCTGCCTCGTCCCAGGTTTTTTCCATCTGGCCTTAAGGGTAACTAAATCTTTAAATTAGCCCAAGGGTTAAAATTGTATACTCAAAGTGTGTGTGTGTGTGTGTGTGTGTGTGTGTGTGTGTGTGTTAGTGTGTGCGTGCACAAGTGTGCAAGGATGTATGCCAACACATATCCCTTGAGGGAAAAGGTCCATAGCTTTCATTAGATTTTCAAAAGGATGTATAATCCAAAACAAAGAATTCTGAAAAGAGACAAATAAGTGTGGTTTGGAATGGCTGGATGTAGTTTAGTCGGGCCTTGAAGGAAAGGAAGGGTTTAGGTTAGTAGAAAGTTAGAGAGAGAGTGAGTTGAGTGGGCTGGAGGAGGCCCAAGGGCAAAGGTGGAGAAAAAGAAGGACATTAACTTGGACAAGTCACATTTTGGCCAGTGATACTTCATTCATCACTGGTCTTTTGGAAGTGTTGAGTCCTTTCTTCAGCAGAGGTCCTTGAACACTTGTTTAACAGGCAACACTATTCAAGAGGAGATTTCAACAATTCCACACTCTAATTAAAGTTTCACAATTTTGCTTAGTACTGGTTACTTTAGACGAGTATCTGAATCACTCTCTGCCTCTTTTCAAAATATGATAGAACAGTAATACTTTTCTACCTGTCTCATGGGGAATCATCTTACATAATGCATATGAAAATACTTGAAAAATAATATAAAGCCCTGCAAGTTTCACCCCTTGTAAACACTGTTATCATTATCATTATTATCAGCAGCAGCAAAAGTAAGTCCACCACTTTCCATCATCCAAAATGTCCTGACCCAAGACCTTACATGTTGCAATCAACTAATAAATCATTCCTTTCCTTTGCAGGCTGCTCTCTTGGATTATGGATAATAATAATCACATGATGTTTCTTCCTTTTAAAATTTACATTCCTAACTAAAATTTTCAATACGTTCTTTATTTGGAGTCTTATAGTTCTCATTTTTCCAGTAAAAGCTGAATATAGAAAAGCCTTGCCAATCTATTTTGAAATTTTTTAATGCTTGGTCCTCAAATCAAGATGTCCTCAACTGCCTGAAGGTCAGGTCAGGCCAGTCTGAATTCAAAAGCACAAAATCTTCTTTATGCCTTCTCTGACACTAGAATTTACAACTCCACCTCTTCTGGAACTGTTGGGCTGGTGAAGAGCTAGGAGATGCAAGGTCAAAGGAGATTTTGACCAGCAATAAATCTTTCGCTAGACCTAGATATGCAGTGGAAGAAGGTATAGTAATTGATCTGACTGTGGCTTGAGCTCAAGACATGCCTTAGAGGCCCTTTAAAAAGAAAATTCATTAACAAATAAGTACTTATTGAGTAGCTTATTTACTTGCCATTTGCCTCATTCTTCAAAATGTCTGGTACAGGCAGGACAAGTCATTTAAGGTATCTACTCTTTTGAGATGTCCAAATCAAAGGAAGTCTTCTGCATTGAGCCATTGGATCTGTAAGAATATGCCCCTTGTGTCATAAAATATTCTAGATGCTTCTCCAAGTGCATGAGACCTATGCTATGCCTGTGCCTTGGCAGCATGAAAGACAGAGTAGAGTAGGGCCAGCTCCTGGCTTGGAGACAGTGAAAACCACCTTCAAAAAGGCAACCTTTCTTTTCCTCCTCTTTTTCCATCTTGCTTCAGCTTACCCAACAAGATCACCGTTATAACTATGCTTAGGTCTTTACTTCTAGAGAACTGGAGTCCTTCCTCCTCTTCCCCATACCTTACAGGCCTGTGCTTCTCTCTGCTTTTCCAGATGAGTAGTTTTGGAACCTTAGTGGAAACCACCTGATGGATGTCAGTTCTACTCCTTGCCCTGCTTCTTGCTGGCTGCATGACCTTAGATAACACCTTTCAGAGGTTCAGTTTTTCCTAATGTAAAATGGAGCTACTTAGCTACTTTACAGGCTTACTGTGAAGATTAAATGACATAATGCTTGTGAAACACTAGGAAACCTTCCACATAGTAACCATTCAATAAATGTGAGTTATTATTATCAACAACATTACTCACAAAATGGTGACTTTGCAAAATCCTTATACCATCTATACCCCTGGGTCATGGGCACTAGGGAACCCAGCCCAACAAGATATACTTAGTATAGCTGAACAGCTGGGACAGAGCTCTTGCGGGGAATCCTGGCCCATAATTGGCTTCCAATTCCACTGCCTACGAGGTCCTTTCTCTGCCTGCTCCTTATCCCTGAATGGAGAGCCAGCTCAACAAAGAGGTTTCAGATATCTTAGGTTGAGATGTTATTTTTCAAAAAGAGATTTGGCTTCTATTTCAAATTTGTTTCTTCTTTGAGCACTTCCATGCATTCAGAATTCTGTAGAGCATGTTGTATATTAATCTAAGGATGGCTGGTGGGATATTTGGGGGATGGTAAAAAGATTCTGCTGTGCTATTAGACTGACCACTGAGTAATTCAGTTCAACTCCTGGTTTATGTGACAGTATATCATGTAGCATTCGACTCTCAGATCCACCCATTTCTGCTCAAACACAGCACAGCTCGTGTCTCAATACTGAGGGTATGGAGGAAAAGGCAGTCAGTCAGTGTCTAAAAATGGTGCATGCAAGAGACGCTCGGGGAAGATGTAGCTGGACCTCTCAGGTAAGAACATCTATTGGTGTACTACTGGATCCCTTCATTGTTTGGAGTTTCTAGGGCAATAGCACCACCTTTGAGGAGTGGGAAGGGAGGGTCTGAGTTCGGTAACAATCCAGATCAGCACAAACCTCTGGCAATAGTCTTGAGTTTGCCTTCTCATGCTTCTGTCTGGAATTCTTTTCAGCCTCCTCCAAAAGGCTCAGGACCCTACTGCCTCGAACACGGCGCTGGTCAACTCTTGCTGTAGGCTCATCTTCTCCTTCTCCCAAATCATTGTGTTATAAAGAAGCAGTTGACTCCAAAGCCTAGTGTTTCTCAATACCCAGGGGAGGATGTTATCTCTTACTGACTTTCCCCTCCAAGGAGTTCCTTTGATGAACAGGGACTATAGAAGTATCACACAAGTCTTCTGACCAAGAGGGCCAGGCTATTCATTAGCATGGTCCTCCTCTTAGAAAAGCCCTCCTCTAGGAAGACATGTGCAACTTCAGATGATCAGTCCCTCAGCAGGGACTCTTAGCTGAAGACTCTAGGCTCCAGGACAGGAAGGCTAGCATGGAAGTTTCAGGTGATCTGTTGCCCCTCTGATCACACCAATGGCCTCCTCTTCCACCTAGCCAGTCATTGGTAAAATCACGGAGACCTCAGCTGCCTATGAACAAAACAAGCATTGACTTTACTAAGCTTGGGTCTCTTAGACAATATTTGCACTTCTATAATATCCATAGTGGAAGAAACCCTTTGCCATCCTTATCTCTCCAACACATGTATAATGTGTACAACTTCTTTTCAGAATCTAGTGTCTTCATATTTTCTAGCTGCTCAGATTCTCCCATCCTGGCCTCTCCTCTACAGATAGCATTATATCAAATGCTTTTTAAATGTTGGCAGGGTGGAGGTGTTCCCCCTTCTCAGGGGCATCTGAAAATGAGGAAAGTGTTGGTTTAATTATAATAAATGAGTGCCAATACTGGCATTTAGTGAGTGGCAACTAGAGATACTAAATGTTTTGCAATACATAGGATAGACTCACACAAGAAAAAATTATCTGCCCAAAGTGCTAGTGTTATACTCATTGAGAAATACTCCAAATTCTTCCCTTTCTATCACCCCTTCCCATCAAAGTTTATCCATTCTGTGTCCCATTCTCTCAAGTGTGTATTTTTGCTAAATCTGATAAATTAATTGAACATTAAGGTGTTAGGAACTGATAGTAATTTATTTTGTTCTCTTACAAAGAAAATCACTCAAGCAGAGATCTTCTGTGCCTTCGTCCCAAAGAAGCAATTCAAATAATAGGTATTTCAGGCAAACAGCAGGCTTGGAAGGGAGTTGTTTATGGGCAAGAAAGTCTTCCTTTTGGTGTTCTATTTCTTCTATGTGCAATCCTAGCCCCCAGTACAGTCCAGAGAAAATTCTGGGCTTTAGACCATTGTTACATTACACTTATCCTCTTCTATGGCTGGCCCCTTTATGAACAATGCAAGAAAGCAAGAAGCTGGAAAAGAAAGAATGGGTGGTTTGCTATGGGCTTCCATGCTCTCCACATTTCCAAAAAGAACCCACAAAATCAGCTCTAGAGGCTAAAGGCATTTATTAGCTACAACTCAGTCTCAAACAGAAAGCAGGCTGATTCTGTCAACTCTTTTTATTTATGTTCCAACCTTTAGTTAGAGAGCAGTCTCACGAAGCTGAGGAAAAAGATCTTTTGGGACAAATCTGGCTTCCATCTTCCTCGCTTCATGTGGATAGGAATTTGGCACAGTAAGAGGAGAAAGTTATTGCAGCTGGCAGACATCGAAGGCATCACGTGGTGAACCTACTGGCTATGGGAAGAAGCATTACAGCAATGAATAATAGCAATTGGCAGCAGAAGGGTCAGGCTGGGGTAAGGGATGAAATGGCCCTGAAAGTGAAAAGTTGCTTGGGAATCATCTTCCTCACCTAAGACAGGACTATAAGTGCCCCCAAGCCTTTGCCCATGTGTTCCGCTTCCCCTCTGCCTGGAATGTCCTCACCTCTCCTCCCTCAGGTCTGACTATAAATTGTGTGACCTTGGGAAAATCACTTCCTGTATTGGGGCCTCAGTGTCCTTTTCTGTAATAGAGGAGGATGAATTAGAGGTTGCAAACTGGAGGCTTATGGGCCTGATTTGGCCAATGGATGCGCATTGGTTGGCCCAATATTTTGTTTGTTTCTACAGTTCGAAAGCCTTGTTTGTATTGGCTCTCTAGTTCATCACAGTCCCCACTATTCTTTCTGATCTTACTACTATTTACTAGCTCCTCCCAGCCATTTCCCATAATTCTCATATCCATCTGGCTCCTGAAGAGTCCTCACCCTTAGAAACCATGAGCTAAATGATTTTTAAGGGGGTCTTAAAACTAATGTGCTGTTATGACGCCACATTCAGCTTCTAACATCACCAATGGACAGGCAGAGAGGACCTTGAGGGGGAAAGTAGGGAAGTTTGCCATTAACATAACCACAAAAGGCAAGTGGGCATAAAATTAACAAGTGCCACTTAAGGAAACACTTGGGTGGATTTTATTAAAGCAGACTCTCTCCACCCCCACCTGAAGGATGTAGCTTGTTGAACATCCGTGACTTTTCCTGGACCTCAATTGCTTTGATCTCTAAATTAACAATAATATACTTTCTTAGAAAAGTGTACAAGCCTCACAGGATCATGGCTGGGCCTTGACCATCGTTCAGCTTTGATTTTTAAAAGTTATTCTTTTGTGGAGAATAGAACCAAGTTGCAGCCCTTCTTGTGCGATTAGGAAGAAAATTCATTTTATTATTTAATCTATAAGGACTGTATGACAGAGTTTCCTCTACTAGAAAGCCCCTCTATTTATGTGTCTAGCCACTGGCTAGCTCTGGGGACTTTCTTTCTCACACAGCACTCTAAGGATAAGGCCGTTCCTTTTTAGGCCCCCATTGTTCTTCCTCCTTAGCCCCATTCCTATCCCTGAAGCTCTTTAGTATTATTTTTGAGAGAGCAAAATATAAGCTACAGTGTGAGGAACTAGAACAGAAGAGTTGGTGGAAGTTCTTTTCATAGGGAAGTTTGTGATTTCGGTAGGTGTGGATGGATGAGTTGAATTATAAATGGATAATTCAGGGCAGGAAAGAAAGCTGTTAGAGATGTTAGAGAACTGGAAGAGAAAGACAGACTGTTTTCTCCTTAGATATGTTCTTTCCTTTGAGTTTTCCCTCAGAATATGTTTTCTGCCTTAGTTTAAAAATATGTTGGCTTTCTGCTTGAAGAAGAATGCCTTTGAATTTATCTAGCCAATATATTTTGGCTTGCTGATTACCTTTCCTCTCTCATTAGCTTATTAAGGCAAGGAGCACTGGACAAAGAATTAGAAGAACTGGATTCTAGAACAGTCCCAACTGTTAAATTTGCCTTTCTTTCTTGTTCCCTTCCTTCCTTCCTTTCCTTCCTTCCTTCCTTCCTTCCTTCCTTCCTTCCTTACTTCCTCACTCTCTTTCTTCCTCTCTTTTTTTTTCTTCTCCTTCCTTCCTTCCTTCCTTCTTTCCTTCCTTCCTTTTTTTCTCTCTCTCTTTCTTTCTCTCTCTCTTTCTTTTTTTCTCCCTTCCTTCCTTCCTTTCTTTCTTTCTTCTTTTTTTTTCTTACTTCTCTGGGCTTCAGTTTCTTTTATAAAGTGAGGAGAATGAATTAAATGAACCATAAGGCTCTTCGAGTAGATTTTATGAAAATATCAATTAGTTCCACTGGACTAGGACAATACCAGTTTATTGAATTACAAACAACGATCATTTCAATTACACACATTTATATAAAACTCATAAAGTGTGTACACAGACTGTGTGCATTATGGAGAAACCTCAGGAATCACCTAGTCTAGTGATTCTCAAGCTTCAGTCATTCATATCACATCTTTATGATTTTTGTCATGTTTGTGTACCACCAGCAGTATTATTTAATGTTGTTTTCTACACTGACTTGATTTCTTAAAATATTAAAAATACCTATCTTAGGCTCATTCTAAACAATAAAATTAATGAAGTCACAGAGTTGATATGCTAGATATGTCTCTAATAAGTTTTCATTTATGTATCTCTTAAAATGAACTTATGTTCCTATACTTGGGGAATACATACCATATTTTGGAAAACATTGCTCTGGTTCTTCATTCAGATGTGGAAACTAAAGGTTGGAAAGATTAAATAATTTTCTTTTCACAAAGCTGGTTACCATGGAAGCATGACCAGGAGCCACCTCCCCTGATGCTGTCACAGTTAGTCGGATGCAGAACTGTGGCTAAAATCCAGGTTATCTCACTTATATACCAGGCTTGTTTCCACCTCACCATGCTGCTCCCACAGTTGCCATTATGATCTAAATATCCATGTTGTTTAATAGAGATGGGACTAGAATCCAGATCTTTCTTAAGTCTCCTAAATTATAGTAATAAAAATTCTTGTGGATGAGTCACTTAATATCTCTGGCTTTGAGTGCCCTTATTGAGATAGTAATTCCTGTTCTGCCTCCTGCCACGTGGGGAGAAAGGTAGTAGCTACCATCAACTAAGCACTTTCTAGGCCCTTTTCTGGATTATTTTGTTTCATCCTCATGCCACTATTATGAGGAGATGGGAGCAGATGATTTGTCAGGGGCTTGTCTGCTCTGAAATGTTATTCTTCTAACAGGGTAAACACGAGTTTGCTTATCCAAAGGAGTATGTGTGTACAAAAGGAGCATAAATATTCTAACTTTATGATATTCCAGATAGTCCCACTGAATAAAGTAAACTCAAATCAAGAAAAGCTTATAAAATGAAAAAAAAAATAATGGTTTTGGATTTCCCATCAGACATTTGTGTCCTATATAATGAGTTTCCTCCAGGTAGACTCATCATGTGACCATCTTGGATCTCCTAACCTAAGCTTAGAAGCTGTCTACTGTCTGTAAGACAGGCATACTTCCCTGTCCCAATGACATCATAAAGCTGCTTTGAGCACAAGTGAGGTAATGGATGTGAACAGCTATGAGAAAGTTAAAGTGCCCCACCGAGTTGAGAAACCTTTGCCACAGGGACCCGTTCCTTGATGGGGGGAAAATGCTGTTGCTCATCAAAGAAGGTAACCTTGGATAGAGGGAGCTCCCAGGTAGCTTATCTTAGCCCTGAACACTCTCCAGTCCTCATTTCTGTAATTTTTTTCTGTCCTAGATTTACTATTCTGAAGGTGGACAAGCTGCATCTATCGGACGATTTAAAGATCGAATTGTAGTGTCCAACGAGCCAGATAACGCATCCATCACTATTTTGTATATGCAACCAGCAGATAGTGGCATCTACACCTGTGATGTTAACAACCCCCCTGATTTTAATGGCAACAATCAAGGCATCCTCACAGTCAGTGTGTTAGGTATGGACAATTTTTATGCCTTTCCTTGGACCAATTTAGGACACTGAATAACCAGGGCAGTGGGTCATGGTGACAATTAAGTCCCAGGGGTAAATATCCTCCCTGCTCCTTCAATTATTGGGGAACTAGAGACATACCCTCCGACCCAACCCATATAGCAACACTGAGAAATCACTCAGAAAACATGCTGAAACAAATGTCAAACCAAAACGGGTGCCAAAATGACAGAGCAATAGATGATCCAACCTCCAGGGATCCTTATCTCTGAAGGATAAAATGAGAACACTAACTGATCACTAGCAACTTTTCCAGAGGAGACTTCCAGTTGAAGCCAGTCCTACTGCCAATTTATCACCTTTCCTAAGTCAGCCACAACTCCCAACATTAAAGCATTCTTTTGAATAAAGACAGGAGGGTCCCTTTTTAAAATGCTAATACTATTTAGATCGTTTTTTAGATTTGGCACACAAGTGCAATCATATAGTTTTTGTCTTTCTCTGCCTGACTTATTCCACTTAGCATAGTACTCTCTAGTTTCATCCATATTGTTGCAGATAGAAAGGTTTCATTCTTTTTTATTGTTGAGTAATATTCTATTGTGTATATATACACCACATCTTCTTTATCCATTAATCTCTTGATGGACCAAAACAAAAATAGTTTCATGGAAACAGAGAACAAACTGATGGTTGCCAGAAAGGAGGGCGGGGAATGGGTGAAAAAGTGAAGAGGAATTAGAGTTATAAACTTCCAGTTATAAAATAAGCCAGGGAGATGCTTATTTATTAACCACAGGGAATACAGTCAGTAATATTGTAATAACTTGGCATTTTGACAGATAGGTGGTTACTAGACTTAGTGTGTGATCACATCACAATGCATATAAATGTCAAATCACTATTTTGTACACCTGAAACTAATCTACTATTGTATGTCAAGAATTAAACATTTTCTTAAAGGTTAACTCTATTTGGCAAAAGGACCATATGTTAAGCCAGAGTTGGAAATTAATTCATGTATATACGAATATTCATTATGTGACATTGGGCAAGTCATATCCACTCTTTAAATAAATTTGGAGTGGTTCATTTATGCAATATTTATTGAGTGCCTACTTTGCACCAAGAGCCATGAGGCATGTGATGGAGGCATGGTTTCTGCTCTTGGAGAGATCACAATTTGGGAGATTTCTAGGGCTCCTTTCAACCTCTGTTTGAGAGGACAATGGGAGTTTTGCTCCCATCTGTCAGCCTAGCTGATTCTGTCCGCAGACCTTCAGAAATACTGAAGGGAGGGATGAAAGGGCTGTCAACCCTCACCAACTAACCAGTTGAGCTAAAGGCTCTCCCACTTCTAAGTAATCCCAAATGAAGCTAACCTAGTCATTGCTTCTCTCGAGCTGTTTACATCCATCACAAGAAAGGAGGAACTAGATCAAATCAATGACTTGATAGTTGAGTAGCCTGGAAAAGCAGCAATTGATAACAAGGTACACACTTGGAATAACTGTCCAGAGTTGTCTGTGCTTGCCACTCAGGTGATGCCAAAAATGTACCAGCTATTTACTGTGAGGTTTGCTATTACAACTACCCACCTAGAGAAGGGGGAAAGGTTATCAAGAGATGATTTTTAAGAGCAGGGTAGCTCAATCAGGTTTTTATTTTGCTGAGCCCTGTGCTAGGCATTCAGGTACCAGGGAAGATGAGAAGCATCCACAAACCCTTTCCTGGGAGAGTTGATGTTCCCGTTTGGAAGACTAGTCATTTACATGGGAACCAAATGGTCTGGTCTAGAAGCTAACACATCAGGCTGGAGCCTGAAGACCTAGGTTCTAGGTCTTACTCGGTCGGCCATTTGATGACCTCAGGCAACCAGTCCATCTTGGTCTGACCATTTTGAGATGGAGTTGTAACTCTTGCTCTGTCTTTGCAAGTTTACTATGAGAACCAAACAATATACTGGAGATTCAGTGTTCGAAGAAATTGAGGGATTAGTCCGCTAATGGTTTTCTGTTGCTTCCTGGCTCTGGGTTATCCTTCTGACCAGAAACAACCTAAAGAAACCAAGTTTCTTTATTTCCGAGCTTGGAAATAGCCCTGAGATGGACAGGAATGTTAATATTTTTTTTAGTGTAAAGTTCAGAGAATCCCTAATCAACTTTCATAAGAAGCTAAGGGTAATTTCCTCTCCAAGTTGTTCTTTTTCCATGACTCTTTGGGTCAGTTGTTCCTGCATTGACTGTGCCATGACTTTTCCTTAAGCATACAGGACCCAGGCAAGGTAAGAGGCAGAAGGGTCTATGAATTTCCTTGTTTGTTTGGGAATTCTCAAAAATTATATTTTTATTAGTTGAGCTGAGAACAAAGGCATTCCACAAACTGCTTTCTAGAAATTTTGAGACTGATAATTTTCTCTAAAAATTTCAGAGGCTGTTTACAGTTATCAAATTCCATTGCATATGAGTGACTGTTCTGCTTATCCTGACAGAGGGGTGAGGCATGGTGGGGTCAAGTGGGTTAGGGAGGCCAGTAGTGGAGAGGGGTGTCCATATTTCTTTAAAGATCACTCTTCCTGTCAATGCATCTTTCAGGGACATTTTATTACCCAGTGATGGACATTGATCCCATGCATTCATTCATGCATAAACTCACTCATTCAAGCATAAATTCATTCGATAAACCCTGAAAACATGTCCAGTTACTGTGCTAGGCAATAGAGATGGAAAGATGTAAAAGATAGGGTCCCGGCCCTCCAAAAGTTCGGAGTCTAGTGAGTGAGGCAAATATATAACAAGAGCTTATAGTGGAGGTAGGAGAGAAGAACTGGGAGACACAGGGGAAATGGCTAGAAGCTGCATGGGGAAACTGGAGAAGGCTTCCTGGAGAAAGTGACTCTTTCACCGAATCTTGAAAGTTGTACAAGAATGTGCAAAGTAGAAAAGGGGCTGAGATGGCAGGACATGATTTAGGTGAAGGAAAGAGCAATGAGCAAAGGCCCAGATGGTTTGAACAACCATTTATTTGAGAGACTTCCATTAAGTATGACAGCCTTGGAAAATGAATCTCTGAAAAATACCCAGCAGAAGTTTGAATAATTATTTTGTATGCATTTGGAATGAGCATCATTTTCCTTCTGCAATTTGGCACACAAAAAGAAAATGATGAATTTAGGGAGGATCTGAGAACACACTGAAGCATTTTAATTTATTTTCTGAGGTGAACCTCTTCCTCCCCCCCCAATTCTGTTGAAAGCAATAAAGCTAAATGGTAGATCAATGGCTTTGACAGTAAACATCTAAGTTCTACTGGGGACTTTAACTGCATAAAGGAGAAAAATGTGTTCATTAATCACTCAATCAATAAATCAATCAATCAAATGCCTATCTGGGTTTGATTTCGGACTCAGGAAATGAATGCAAGTCATTCCAGGTCTGTTATTTAGTTCAATTCCTGGTGTTGGACTTTGTGATGAAGCACCTCATTTAATTTTCTGTTCAGATTGCTCTATTCTGCTGTAAAGGCTATAAAATCACCATGTTTAAAAAAAATGCACTATCTGAATCTAGTGATAGTTACAATGGACTTTCAGTTAAATAGCTTTGTTTAGGGTAGGCAGACCTAACAAGTTTTTCCCAGCTGAGAAAATTAGTGATAAGAAAGAGAGAGTAAAGAGATAAAGAGAAAAATACTTATTCTAATTAAAAGACACCTGTTTAAAAGATAGGGAGGGTGAAGTGCTTTGAAGAGCTCCAGTTATATCCATCCGTTTTCTTGCTCATGTGTACAGTGGGTTAGAATCAAAGATGGGAAAATTAACTTTAGTAGCAAGCTATAAAATGTGGCAACAGAAATTAGTCCTGCTCGTAGCCAACAGCAAATCCATGTGTAAGGCTCTGTAGACATGATTTTATTTACATAAATACAATATATTTGGATTTGCTGGAGATTGGATAATCTCTTGTTCACATTTTGCAGATGGGTCAAATGAGGTTTGGCTAAGTTAGGTTACTTGCCTAAACACATCCAGGATAAAGTTGCAAAGCCAGTATTCTGTATGGATGCAGAGCTCTGTTCTTAACTGCTACCTCCCAAGTAAGAGCTGGAGAGCTGGGCAATCCAGAGCATCTAAGGTCTAACTTGTCTAAGTTAGAGAATCAATGCCTTTGGAGGGTTTTTAACCCAAATTAAGACAAGGAAGGTGAGTTGAAAGTATTGACATTCAGATCCTTATCTTTCTGTCAGACTATGGTTAAAAAAAGGTACAAGCAGTAAGATTGAATGAGGAGATTCAGATTTTCAGTTTCCTATAAGACTTCTTTATTGAGGTGTTTCACAAGCAGCTAAAATGCTGTGTCCCAAACTGACCTCAATCGTGCCTTCCTCCTCTCCTCCCTCTTTCCCCAAAACTCTGCTCCTCCTCCTGTATTCTCTATCTCAGAGGATGTT